CCTATTTCATCAATTGATAGTACTTCTAAACTAAAGTTTTACACAAAAATGAATTTATAACTCTTTAAAATTAATATTAAATTAAACTGAAAATATAAACAGTAAATATTGGATATAACAATATTATAAGCAAATACAAAGAACGCATATATATATATATATTACGTAGTATTACGTCACGGATAGCCGGCAAGCCATCGCTGCAGATCGAATCAGCTGAATATGTCAGATGGCACAGGCGAGCCTAATTAAGACCGAAACATAATATATAAATATAATAATTATATATATAAAACTATATAATTAACCAATTACACAAAATATAATTATATACAATATACAAATGATAATAATTTATATTTACCGTTAAAAACGTAGCGAGTAACGTTTTGCATAGACAAAAAATGCAGCGACGCTACCTGCAATCGCTATAAATTTTCAAATGTAGCTTCGATCCAATAATCGCTCCTCGAAACGTAGCGGCGCTATGCGCAGCTCTACTAGTAATGTAATCCAGCCGTACCACCTTAAACATGGGTTTTGGTCGATCACGTCACTAAATATGAAAAAGACAATGATGGGTGCTAATAGGTTACGATATATAAAGACATCGCCACTGTAAATTAAAATATAAATTATAAAAGGAGTTTATCAATGTAATGAAGATATCAAATACATAAACCAAGTTAGATGAAACAAATGGGGCAAAACTTAGTTCGTACGAAGTAAACAGGCACAACTGTAAAAGTGGTGAGGGTTGTTGATATGGAGAATAGTGATAACCCTCCCCCAACCCCTCCTCACTTCAAACAGCTCTCCGCAACCCCTGATAACAGGGAAACAACAGTATCTAAATTGAGGATGAAATTATCAGTAAAACTTTTAAATTTACTTACATGTTTTCACTATAGATGGCGTTTAATTAGAACAACGTGTGCTTCATTTCGTCAACAAAAAATTTGCAACTGGAAATACAGTTAGATTACGTTATTTAGATGATCTTCTCTAGCAAGTTCATACTAGTAGTTGTCGAACGTTTAGCTCAGGAATGAAAAATTTAGATATCAACATGCTTTTAATTTTTACAATTTTAATAATACTAATGTCTTGTAGTACAAATTGCGCGAACAAGAACTTGAAGAAGCCAAGCCTATATAATCTGACAGCTTTCGACAGTAAAGGCCAGAAAATATTTTTGGAGCAATTTCGTGGAAAGGTAGGAGATTTTCTGAAAATTAAAATCAACCTGTTCAAGTGAACACTAGTATTTTTAACAGTTCAGTTATTTATGTGCTATGTAAGGCATTGAAATAGAACTACTTGATTATGAATTTAAATTTATTTTGAAAATGTCTGTTAAACTAATAGAGTAAGTATTACTAGCCTAATAATTATGATACCCGTTTTAACTATGTAGAAGACTACCTCACATTCTAATGCTATTATGGTCTAAATTTCATAACAGTTAATATATTTATTAGAGCATCTATGACTTTTATTTTTAAATGTGAAGTGGAAAAAAATGTTTAAGTTGAAAGCCATAGTAAATCTATGATTCAGTATGAAGCATTTGACCCTGAGGTATTTTTACTTGTAGTTGTACAAAGAACATCTATTTTCAAACAAATAAGTTTTTAGGCGTTAACTACTAAAACAAATTGTAAATCATTTTACAATGATTAAGTTACACTAGTTACAGTTTACTTGTTATTATTAAAGAGAAGTTAATATTAGATTTATTTAACAAAAATATTTTAAACCTGGGGCTAAAATGTAGTTACGTAATCTGTGTATTCATATTTCAGTTAGTTTTTCTTCATCATAATATCAGTATAATGTAAAGACATTTTTTTAATGTATAATTTATTGAATGTACCTTAGAAATGATATTGATATATATTATGAAATTATTTATAATTTAATGTTGTAATCAGTGTACACTGAGTGAGAGGATATTATTTTCAACAACAACTAGTACTGGAGAAAACAGTCAGATGCAGGGTTCATATTAGGCTCCAAGGTAGTTGTCAAGACACTTGTTGTTAGCTGCATGTATATGTCAATTTCAATTAATTTTGCTTTGTGGTATGTAACATAGGCCTAATAGAACACATCTAATTACTAACCCACAGAATGTTTTTTTTATGAACATAATGAATTTAGGGCAAGAAATATATTGTTTCTCTTTGATACTAATACAGTTGACCTATCAAGAAATTTCATGCCAGTATACATTTCTATGGGTTAAATTTTAACTTGTATCTTTCAGTCAGCTCAAAATATTCAGCAGATCTATTATTAATTAAAAACAAAACCTCCAAACTTTAATATTAATAAAAATTATCATTGTTTATATGAAACAGTAAACTAAAACAAGTTCTTTTGTTTTATGTTTGCATATAGTTTTCAATCTTGTATTATGGTTTTTTAATATGTTACATTTCTTTACTTGCAGGTAACACTAGTAGTAAATGTGGCTACATATTGTGGATTCACTAGAGATCACTATCCAGCACTTGTTAAACTTCAAGACATACTTGGAAGTAAAAAGTTTTCCGTCCTAGCTTTTCCTTGCAACCAGTTTGGAGAACAAGAGCCTGATTCAAATGAAGAAATTGAAGAATTTGTGAAGCAAATGTATAAAGTCAATTTTCCTTTGTTTAGCAAGATTGATGTTGTTGGGAAATATGCGCATTCTGTGTACAAAAATCTTAAAGGTAATATTGTATTTATTGCAATGAGTCTTTATCATAAACTGTGTCCTTTACTGTGCTGCTCATCGTGAGTCCTCAGTGACTCAGCAATAAGTATCTGAACTTCTTTTGATGCTAAAAATTGGGTTTTGATATTCTTAGTAAATAGTTGGGTTTGTTCTGAATCTTACTTAACTCTGTAGAATAATTGCTCCCTGAACCAATGAAATCCCAAGGTAGTGGATGATTATTTTCCATGTGGTTGCTTCTGATGTATTGCAATAAAATGATTTACAGAAGTTATTTTTACCAAACATGGCTGAATGCCATTTCTTTTTCTTATTGTCAAAGTTTGGTTACTGGTGGGCTTCATTAAACAATTTTTAGATTGTTCACTAAAATTATTTTAACTAAAAATTTATAATTGATTTATGCCGCTATTTTAAACTGTTTAATATATAATCTAGTAGCAAAGTGATGTCTGTGAAACTTCCATCATAATACTCAATTATGTGCATAGACCATTGGTATGAAGTAATGATTCAGTATCTAGATTGACTTTGTAAATGATATTTTCATTTTCTTGCTGAAATTTTTCTGTAGTGGAAGACTTAGTAGAAGAACAATAATTATATTCACTTTGTGGAAGTACCTATACGTAATAACGTAACATGCAAATAACAAAGGATCATTTCATACTTCAAGATTGTCCTAGTGCATTTACCCACGAAAAATAAAAATTTAAACCCACCCTTTGTTTTTCAGAAATTTTTGATTCCTCTTTTAAACTCGTTTAAAATGTTGGCCTCCACTACTATCAACAACTCGTTTCATAAGCCAATCACCCTGTTGGAAAAATAAAACTGTCTTAATTGGAACCAGGAATTTCCAAATCTTAAATTTGTGTCCTCTTGTCCCATTTTCTTCAGAATGTAACATGCAGAAACTAGAGATATTTATCCTGTCTATCTCCTGGATAGTATTGTACATTTCAAATTTAACCTTATAATCATCCTAGTGGCTGTTTTTTAAACCTTTTCCATTGAGTTAATATCCTTTCTTAAATAAGGAGCTCAAAACTGTGTACAGTATTCCAAGTGAGGCCTAACTAATGTTTGTTTATGGATAACTACCTAAGTGGAATTGTAACCAGTATATCTATAAATAGTTACTAGCAATAAAGTAATGTTTCAATGGCTTGTGCGACTTATCCACCACTGTGCCAAGTTTCTTTTCTTCAGTCATACTCTTTAGTAGGTTCCCATTTATATTAATATAAGATATAACATTAAAGGACAAAAAAGGTCCATTTAGACCATCCTATCCACTAAAATTGAATTAACTGCATTTACCACATTTGTAAGCAACTTGTTCCAAAGACCAACCATCCTGTTAGAAAAATAAAGTTGTCTTAGCTGATGATGACTCCTACCCTGTCAAAATTAATATTTGTGTTCCCCAGCTTACCATTTTCTCCTTTAGATATGAAAAATATGATGCATCAACACTATTAATTCTCTTTATCTCTTAACAGTCTTAAACACCTTAATCAGATCAGACCCCTTTTATCTCTTCTTTTTTCAAGAAAAATAAGTTCAAATATATTAACCTATCCTCGTAAAACAACTTTACTATTCCAATTATCATACTCTGAACCCTTTCCAACAATTCAATTTCCCTTCCTTGGTAAGGAGCCGAAGACTGAACACAGTACTCTAAATATGGCCTAACCAATAATCTATACAATGACAATGGTGTTCAACCAAAACACCAAGATATTTTTCTTTCATAACAATGTTAAGCAGGAATGGGATTTATTTATTTTTTTTCAGACTTCTGTTTTTTTCACGGTGAAAAACCATTTCTGATTCTTATGAATCTCATTCAAGTTTCATTGAAATGTTTGGACCCCATTCCCCATTCAGTCGCTATTTGTTTTCATTACCCACGTGTACTTCATCTGGCTGTAAACTATCCACCTCATGAAAATTTAGAATGATTAAATGAACATGTGCCAAGAGCAGCCTTTTGTCCAATAGGAAGCTTCATCAGTTGTTGCAAAGGGCAATGAAGGATACGTGCTGAGCAGAACAAGTCAAGAGACTGAGAGAGGTATTTTCAAATAAATAATCCATTCAATTTCAACTATTTTAAGAGCCATCTGTTGCTAATAATATTGAAATTTGATCTTATAAAACATTTTACCATCGTATACCACATTATACCGTTTCATGCACCAGCTATTTAACCACAAATTTGCGTTCAAATTTGGCCCTTCATTTTTTATTTTGCTCTCTTGATCCTACTCTGGTAAACATTCTCAGTTCTTTCAAATTGTCATGTAATCGTCAATCTAGACGACTTTAATTATAACATTTCCTCAATTTGTCTGTTATTTGTTTGACTAAAAACAATTTCTATCCTGATTTAGCTCCATGGATTTGTGGGCAGTAATAGGATGATTTCTGTATGCTAAGTAGACTCTTAATTGCAATTTATATAGATGTTGCATGTGCACCAGTAAACTTCACAACTGTTTTATTAAATGGAGTACTGCAATGGAGCAGCAATTTATCTAGAGATCTCCATTCTCCAAAAATTTTCCAGACTCCCTCTGAGAGCCCCCTCCCCATGCTGCTTGTGTAGCTCTGATTTTTTCCTCTTTTTTTTTTCTGTAACCCATTCTCATCCCTGGTTAAGTTTATTCTCATCAATGTCTCCAACTGCCAAATTCACAGCAGATAATTATTGTCTCATCTTTTCAAAATTTGCTTTTTTGAAATTTGTAACCAAAAATCTCATTATTCCTTATCTCTATATGTAGCAAAACATCAGATCTAATTGAGCAACAATCACTATTACCCAGATGTTCCTCAATTTCTATACTATCAACCATTTCTTTATTAGAAGCTAACAATAAATCCAAAATAGCATTGTTTCTGATAGATTCTTTAACCAATTGTTGAAGAACAGTTTCTAAAAACTTGTGAACCTCATGATTTTACTCTAACATTTCCCAATCTGTATGCAAGAAATTGAAATCTCCCATAATTGTAACTTCACTAACAACTAAATTCTTCATTTCACTATGGAGTTTCTCATCAATTTCATCAGTTTCATTTAATTGTCTGTAACATTCTAACTAAAAGCATTTTCCAAACACTCACATAAACCCAAACAGATTGAAGCTCATTGTTGTTAGCTTTAATATCATTAACTTGAACAGAATGCAACAAGCAGTTTTACGTATAAAGCCACTCCTCCCTTTCTCTCTCTTTAGTACTCTATCCCTATTGAACAACCTATTACGATTTATTTCAAAGAAGTTCCTTTCATCAAAATTATCTACATTTGGCAGATTTCACTTATTTTCGTTGTATGAAAATCCTCTGTTCTGATCAGTGTTCTAAAGTCATCCATTTTATTTTTTATATAAATAACATGATCCAAGCTATGTGTAATTATTTTCTGTTTATCTCTCATACAATTTTGTTTTCAGCTCAGTTTGGTAAAGAACCAACATGGAACTTTTGGAAGTACTTAGTAGACCATCACGGATATGTGATTAATGCCTGGGGACCAGGAGTTGCTGTTGAAGATATTTTTGATGATGTAAAAGCTGCTGTTGAAAAAGCTGAACAGTCTACTGATCCCAAGAAAAAGGGAAATGTTGAACTTTAGTTTAAATTTATAAGAGCCTAGTTGTTTTCTATACATTGTATCAGTGTTGTTTATTTTCAACTTCTTGCAAATATATTTCTACTTAAATCAAGTGAGAGACAGTATAGTATATTAATGTATATATGACAAATCAAGTACCTTACAAAAACACTTGCTTTAAACTAATGAAGTTCAAAAAGAATATTTGAAATGTATAGACATTTCAGTTTTTAAATAATATGGAAAAAAAATTATCTTCTGAAGACATTAAATAACAAACCAAATAACAAATTGAATGTTTCGATGCATGAAGTTTTAGCTTTTTTATGTGCTCTGTTTGAATTGTACTCTGTGAAGAAGTTATTTAGCTCAATCTCGGTGCATGAGTGAAATTAGTATGCATCAAACTTCTGTCTGTTTAATGTGAAATAAAAACACTTCTGTGGATCTTTGTAATCATATATATATGTATAATTGAAAAATCTCCACCTTAACATACCAATTTGTAGCTATCAGAATATTATCTAGATGTAATCTTTTAATTTAAGTCAAAATGGACACTTGTTTTGTACTTGGTTATTTTTAATATAAGCTTGATTAAAACAGCTTCATTTTAAAACATTCAAGGTAGCCATTGAAGCTTTGTTCTGTATTTATTTAGTACAGCTGTAGAAGCTATAATTGAGGGAATAGAAACATATCCAATGTCTATAATTTTTTTTTACTGTTCTTAATACACTATATGTTTACATTTTTAATAGTCAGATATATGATTATAATATATTGCATCCATCTGAAACAACTCTTCCTTTATTTTTTAATCTTAAGCATCATACTCTGTTATACAAATTGTATTATATAGACAATTTGTAAATTAACAAATTTTGGGATTAGTTTATGAAAATGTTTGTTTCTAAGACATCAGTTTTAATTTTTTATTTTAATTTCTTGATTTAAATTTCAATAGCTTCCCTGTAATATTACAGCTGGTGATGTTTACATTAAACTGCATTTCTAAGCAAAACTTTATTTCCTCTTTTTATTTTTTTAGCTTTTACTAAAGGTACTGAACATGCAAAGATAGGGATTACCTTTTCTATCTTTGTAATATATTTCTATTTACAACTAGCAGAATACCTGGTGTTGCTCAGATGAAAATGGTTTTAAATATCCTGAGTTGTTTTGATTAAATCAACTATATTAATCATGATGTTTTGCTAAAAAATGAAAATGATTTCTTTCCTGACTAAATATTTTGATTAAAATCAATAAAAATAACAATGTGTGAAAAAAATAATAATTTGCTGAAGCCATTTTATTTAAAGCAAAACCATGTACATTGCTCCTGTTTCTTGCATGCACTTTGCATGATATTACAAGTTTCAAAAACAAAATTCCCTTCCTTTTGGTGTCCTGTTTTCTACTGTGTGGCCAAGTGTTGTTTACAATATTTTTCTGACTTTATTATCATTACATTTAATTAAGAATTGATTTATTCTCTCCTCATTGCAACACTATGTAAATTTTCGATGCTAATTGTTTTTGTAAAATCATTGTATAGCTGATTCTTGTGAGTACATGCAAGCAAAGCAAAGGATATGGCTGGAGCAAGCCTATTTAATTGAGGGAATGTGCGTACATGTTTGAGAGAAAACATCAGCTTGTTTCAGTTAAGAGGAGCTAGAGAGTAGGCATGTATGTGTAGAAGAAATGGAGAGGGAGGGAAAGAGCATGAAGGCTCCTTGAAGTTTTTAAATCATTTTAACAAATAATTGATCATTGATAGAATGATTAGTAGTCCTCACACAGAGAAGAAATGTAAATAATAGCCCTCTTGATCAAATACCAAAACGAATCTGGCCTTTTTTGATTTGAGACCAACTGGGGATTCTGTTTTTCAAAAATTGCTCTATTGGTGACTTTGGCCTCAAATCAGTCTCTGGGGCCACAGCCACATAGCCCATGTTACTTCCTGCACAAAGTTGTATCTGTACTCCGACTTCAGAGTTTGTAGCTTTAAAGCTGTATCCATGCATAAGGAACAGACATTCACGCATATATATAAATGTATGTATTTTGTCCACCACATTGTATAGAAAAACAATTTATGTGCTGTAACTGAAGTTCAGTTGTTCCATAACACTGTATAGGATAAAATCTTTTGACTGTATAGTATTCTGTGTTTCTCATATTTCATGGAGAATTTCTTTTTTTTTCCTTGCACTTCTCGTAAGCAAGATTTATGTTAGCTGTTAAGTTAGGTCATAATGTAATATATATACACATTCTTCAAACTTAAGTAATTATTATGATCTCTAGTAAAATTGCATGAAATGTTTTGATTGGAACAAATTGTTTGTTATATTTGCATACATGAAGCCCCCCAGTGGCACAGTGGTATGTCTGCAGATTTACAATGCTAGACACCGGGTTTCGATACCTGTGGTGGGCAGAGCACAGATAATCAATTGTGTGGCTTTGTGATTAAGTACAAACATTCATACATGAAAGTTTTTTAGAAAGCTCTACCAATATTTAAGGCATAAAAAGAGATTATATTGCATAATTACTATAATTATTGGAAATGATAACATTTACTATTTTATGGTTCACATAATCAACCAGGGTTTTGATAAAGTTAGACATAAACATTTTTTAATCTATATGTTTTTAATTGTTATAAAATAAAAAGTGTATGAGTTGTGTAGATACTTCACTTTTCTTTATTTTCATGAAATTTACTCTACATAGCTTATTGCTATAAATAACATTATCACTTGAGAAGAAACATGATTTTTTGTTGGTTTGTATTATCTATAATTATAATCTGCCTTCTATTTCCGTATCGGATCTTCTCCATTCCCTCTACTTGTCTATCAATGTACATTTACAGAACTACAGGGTGTGTAAAAGGTTTGGAACCATAGGTACATCAACAAATTTTACAGAATGTGTTCCAGATGCTGTCCTTGTAATTCAAAACAAGTTTGAATTAACAGTAGGATTAACTTGACCTTTGCATGCTTTTACAGCACCATAATCTGTTATGTATCTGAAATTAAGAAAAGCTGCAAGTCATCTATGGTTCCAGACTTTTTGGATACCCTGTATATTAGATGAAGAGTTTATTGTGACAAAGGCTAGAAATGATTATCATTAATCATACACTTACGTTTGAAACTGAAAAATATTGATTATTTAAAAAATTATTTTAACATTTATGTATGTATTTATAAAATGACTTAATCTTACTGCGAGTCTAAATATTTGTATTGAATTCTTATAATAAAGTTTATTTAACATTAATTTGTATTAGAAAGGAAAGGAAGTGTAATCAGATTTGTAGGAATATAGCTGATTAATTTGTGAATTAAACATACAATTTATATAAACAAATATGTGTAAGTATTCAGATGTGTTATGCTAGATATATTTCAATGGAACTGGAAATCTGAGTGTCAGACATTTACATGAATATGTAAATTACACTCAAATCAACATTTTACAAATGAATACACAGTTCATTAGTGCATTAAAAAGCTTTTGGTCATTTGTGAGATATCTTTCAAATATTAAAAAAGTGTTAACATTTTGTCATTAAAGTTTTTAAAGTGTGTCAGAATAATAGCTTGAATGAAGCTATAAATTATGTGAATGTAAAAATATGAATAACTATTGTTTTTTATGAACAAGTATTTTGTGGTGTATAGCAGAATTTATTGTTACATTGAAAGTTAATTATATGTGTGATTTAAGTTTAGTTTTTTGCTTAACTACTTATTAATTTTATTCTTACCTTAAAATTAAAAAATATATATAATCAGATTTTTTAGTATAATTAAAGCATGTTAATGAATATTATTAAAATTTACATTGTAAACAGTTAATTTCTTTATAAGCTTGTTTATTATGTTTAACCTTTTTCGAGGATCTTAAAGTTTATCATATTCAAATACATCTGAAGTGTGACATCTTACTTAAGAAACTAGTTGCTCTTTTTGAGAAATAAAATTTGCTATAAAATATAACTTATAATGTTTTTCACAGGTTATTTGTGATAATGACTAAATAATAATTGTTCTTGATTTATGCATGTTGTTATATAACATTCTTATTTTTTATCTGTCAATTTTTGTCTACTTCTCCAACAGTAATGTCCTTTTTTTTTTAGTTGGCTGACCTTTAGTGAAAGTATTCAAGAATAGTGAAAAACATGTTCCACAGTGAATCAGAAGCTGACATATAACTAACAAGTTTATGGTATTTTAATTTCCTTCTATAAATGTTAGTGATAAATCTTATTTTTGATAAACTAACACCATTTTTACCCTCTGTTTTGTTCAATTACCATGATAAAATAATGTGTGATTTTGTAAATACTCAAAATATCCTATTGTGTGTTATATTGTTGCATTTAGTTTGTTTGTTTGTTTTCTAGGCAAGTTTTAAAAATATTTTATTTCTCGTTTTTTTCAACTAAACATATTTTGTGATTAATATTGCATATTATGAGATAAAAATTTGAATGATATGCATGTTGCTATTTCTGTAACAGTAAACGGTGTTTAGTCTAATGTTAACAGAACATAAATTTTATGGACAGCAATGGACCTGTTCCATCCACTAAACTTAAAAAAGTCAAAGCCAGCCCTTATCATGCAAACTATTATCCAGCCTTCCCTTAAACTCTAGTAAATTTACTGCATCCACCACATCTTAAGGCAACCCATTCCAAAGGCCAACTACATTGTAACAAAAAAAAAGCTGTCTTAGATGAAGGTGACTCCAACCCTACTAAAATTTATATTTGTGTCTCCTTATCATTCTCATTATTAAGTATCTAAAAGGTGATGCATAAACACTTTCAGTTCCTTTAACAATCTTAAATGTCTCAGTCAGATTCCCTTGTTTTTACAAGAGAAAACAATTATAAGGATTTGAACTTAATCTTCTATGGCAATCTTTCCATCCCAGTTATCACCCTAGTAGCTCTCCTCTGAATCCTTTCCAACAATTCAATGTCTTCTTTAGGTACAGAGCCCAAGACTGAAAACAGTACTTTAAATGAGACCTAACCAGGGACCTATACAATGAAATTATAGCTTCATTACATTTGTATTCAGTATTTCTGTAGATATAACCTAAAATCATATTTTCCTTGCCACTAGCAACAGCGCATTGCTTGGATGGCTTTAGAGATTGATGAATTAGAACAGCAAAATCTTTTTATAACACTGTTAAAGTTATTCTCATAAAAATTATACTCATAATTAAATTATGATAACCCATTTACATTACCTTGCCTTATAATTAATATCCACCTTCCAGTTATTCACCTAACTCAACAAATAATCTAAATCTTCTTGTAAAGAAGGAGCATTCTTCTCCTCACAGCCAGCAACACCCAAGGCCATAATAAAAGCAGCAATTTTAAGTAATTTATTGATCATTTTTTTATCTATGTCATTGACGTAAATCAAAAAGAGCAAAGGTCCTAATAACACTGAGCCCTGAGTTACTCCATTATGACATTAATCCAGTTTGACTGAACTCAGTTTGCAGTAACCCTCTTCTTTCTTCCATCAAGCCACTTTTCTATCCAATGAGTCAACATATCCTCTACTCTTGTAGAAACTATTTTTTTTAGCAAGCCTTTTATGTAGCAACTTGTCGAATGCTTTCTGAAAATTCAGATATATTAATTCAAACCCTCATCTGCAGAAGCTGTAACCTTTTCAAAAATTGTCAAAAGATTAGCAAGGCAAGATCTCCCTCAGTAAAACTATGTTAACTATCCAACAAAATTTTAGAATTTGTTTTAAATGATTTTGTAAAGCTTTTTATTAGACATTCAAAAACTTTTTCCACCAGTGATGTAAGACTAATAAGCCTATAACTACCAGGACAATATTTGTTACTTCTCTTGAACAGAGGAGCAACCTTAGCAAACTTTGAATCCATTGGTGTCTATTCACTATTCAAGGATTTACAAACAAATAGTATCAAGTGGCTCACATATCCAATCCTTAACTTCCTTCAATACCTTTGGAAAAATATTATCTTGCCTTGAAGCCTACCAATGTTTAGACATCCCAATTTTTTCTCAACAAGCTCAGAATTAATTTTATTATATTGTTCAATCTTGTTTCCAGCTAGTAGCTGTTATAGACAAGAAATTTTGTTTAAAACTTCATTAATAAAAATTGAAAAAATTCAAATTTGGTAACCCAGCCATCTCATGATTATTAGATATTGCTCTTCCTTTATCACCCCCCTCAAGGGCCCTACCTCCATCCTAACATTTTGTTTACCATTAACGTAGGTAAAGAAATCCTTAATATTAATTTTACATTTTCAGCCAACTTTTTTTTCAAATATCCTTATTGGTTACATAATTTCCTGTTTGACCAACTTTCTTGATCTTGTATAATCCTGACATAGCAGCAACTTAAACTTCTTGAATGTATATTTCTTGTTTTAAATTTTATCCTTTTTACCCTTTGTGACCCCAACCTGGTCCTTTATTTGCAGCCACCATTTTCCCTCTATTAGGAACATGTCTATCTTGAGTATTTACTTTTGTTTTTTAAATGTTTAACATTTCATCAGTATCTCCAATTAATTCAGTCGCTGAATTCACTACAAATAATTCTTGTTGCGTTCCTTTAAAATTTGTATCAAAAATATTATCATTCCTGTTCTCAGTATGCAGTTAAACACCAAATTATATTGAGCAATGATTACTTGCACCCAGATATTCCCCAATCTCTATCCTCTTGATCATATATATATATTAGAAGTTAACAATATATCTAAAATAACATTTTGTTTATAGGTTCCTTGACCAATTGCTGAAGAAACCATCCTGAATGGTTTCTAAAAATCTGTTTCTTTCAGGGTTTAACTCTTAACATTACCTAACCTACGTGTCTGAAATTAAAATCCCATAATTATGACCTTATTGACAGCTGAAATCTCAATCCTAGAGAGAGTTTCATCTGGTGGTCCATAACAAATTCCAGCTAAAAGCTTTCACTCCCCTATATCTGCTAACAAAAACCTAAATAGATTAAACTTGCGTGCTAT